TGGGACCGACCTTTCTCAATCGTAGTCTCATTCAGAACACTAATTAGATAAACCCGAACGTACAAATTAATACTAGTAATATTGGTTCATAATAAGAAGTGTCGAAGAGATTGACTCACTCCATCTAGGTACCCACGGGATCTCGTCACCAGTGTGTCGTGGGGGACGCAGAAAATGCGAATTTTGAGAGTAGGAATCAGTTCGATTTTGCTGGGTGATGTTTTGCAATGACATGTTTACAACAATCAAATGCTTAAGAGGGTCCGCGGAGAGGCTACTTCTTAGTAGTCTTCACAGCAATCGCAATTCTTTCTACCTTGGACTTTCCAGCTGTCATGTTTGTATGGTCTTTTACAGATTTCATGTGCATAGATTGTGGATGTTGTTTCATTCTTTATCTATTTTGTAGTATCTCCGTATTTGAAAAGTATGTCTATGGTAACTTCCAACAAGTTACTCCACCTTCTGGAGGCCTTCAGTCAACCCTGGTTTCTGTACAGCGGTCAAACACATTACCAACTCGTCTTCCTTCTCTTGGAGGTATTCAACAATATCATCCAGTATCAGTTTGACGGTGAGTTTTTTCGCTCTAATTCTAACAAACCTAAATGATGACACGTTTACCGTAATGTTTAGATGATCACTCTTCCACTTGTTTTGATTCATACATTGGCTAAACTGTGCATGTTGATTACTTCCTCCGTCTCCATTAGGAAACAGCAATCTAGTTTATACATTGATACGGAAACGACAAGTTTTTTATCATTTGGCCAACCTGCCCACTGACCAGAGCACTATTCAGAAGATCGTCAAACGCCGACCCACCACGCTTTCCAATTCGGATCACTCCTCTCCGGAGTCATCTCCAACCCTATCCGCCAAACCAAAGTCCCATTCCATTCAAGGTAATCACGATACACAAATGATCAAAGAAGGAGCTCGAAAGAAGACTCAAGCTGATGTCATTTCTCCTACAAGTGCTGTGGCCCCAGCTGGTAATAGAGATGTCAACAGTAGCGCCATTGATACTCCAGAAGTATGTTTTCCTCAGGTGTTACTTAATGATGTTCATAGTGTATTAGAACTTCACAAAGTTTGGTGATTTACCACTGCACTGCTTTTTTGAAACCTTTTCTCAACAGCACTGCGAATGTCCACTGCAGTTTGTAAGCTTTTCATTGCATCCATGGTATATCCGTTGTTTATGACGGACTATAGCTAGCATTCTATCGTTCACAGCTTTTTATCTAATCACGAAAATCCTGCGCTCACAGTCGTAGTTTCAGACAGA